TCGTAAGCCGTGACCTGGAAAGACGACCCTAAACCCTAAACCCTAAACCCTAAACCCTAAACCCTAAACCCTAAACCTTGAGCCCTCAAGCCTAAACCCTGAACCCTGGACCTGAGACCCAAAGCCTGAAACCCTAAACCCTGAACCCTAAACCCTAAATCCTAAACCCTGAACCCTAAACCCTAAACCCTAAACCCTAAACCCTAAACCCCAAACCCCAAACCCTAAACCCTAAATCCTAAACCCTAAACCCTAAACCCTAAACCCTAAACCCTAAACCCCAAACCCTAAACCCTAAACTAAACCCCGGAAAACCCTGGACTGGATGCTTCTCTAGAGGGGCTCCCAGGGTGGAAGGATTGGGCATGAACGGTTTAGGGTTTAGGGTTTAGGGTTTAGGGTTTAGGGTTTAGGGTTTAGGGTTTAGGGTTTAGGGTTTAGGGTTTAGGGTTTAGGGTTTATGGTTAGGGTTTAGGGTTTAGGGTTTAGGGTTTAGGGTTTAGGGTTTAGGGTTTAGGGTTTAGGGTTTAGGGTTTAGGGTTTAGGGTTTAGGGTTTAGGGTTTAGGGTTTAGGGTTTAGGGTTTAGGGTTTAGGGTTCAGGGTGAGAGCGGCGGAGAACCGAAACCCTGAGTCGTAAATCTCTGCAGGCGTCTCAACCTCGCTCCCCCGCGACCGGGTTGAGGGTATAGGGTTTAGGTCTTAGAGTTTATAGGGCTTAGGGTTTAGGGTTTAGGGTTTAGGGTTTAGGGTTTAGGGTTCAGGGTTTAGGGTTTAGGGATGTTTAGGGTGCCGGGGCCCTAGACCCTACGGGAAAGAACCCTCGCGCCTTCACTCGGGGAAGGTTCCGAAGAGCGGCGGCTGAGATGGACGGCCTAAGAAGAGCCCGTGATCGGGAGGCTCTCTAAACCCTAAACCCTAAACCCTAAACCCTAAACCCTAAACCCTAAACCCTAAACCCTAAACCTGAAACCCTCGAAGCCTCAACCATACTGGCGACAATTCCCTCAATGCCTCAATTTCTTGACAAGAAACGAACTCCTATATTAGGGCTTCGGTTTTAGGGTGTAGGGTGTAGGGTGTAGGGTGTAGGGTGTAGGGTTTAGGGTTTAGGGTTTAGGGTTTAGGGTTTAGGGTTTAGGGTTTAGGGTTTAGGGTTTAGGAAATATAAACAACGAAGATCATTAGGCCCATGAAGAAGGAGAAATCTAGGGATCAGAGCTTCAGGCTGCAGAGCTTGGAGCTTGGTGGGGCTCTGGGGCCCGAGTCCCTGAACCATGAGGTTTAGGGTTTAGGGCTTGGGGTTTAGGGTTTAGGGTTTGGGGCTTCGGGCTTGGGGTTTAGGGCTCAGGGTTTAGGGTTGAGGGTTTAGGGTTTGGGGTTTGAACCCGAAACCCTGAAGCCCTAAACCTTCAATACCTCCAAGCCTAAATCCGAAACCCGGAATCCTAAACCCAAAATCCTAAACCCTAATCCCGAAAGCCCATATAAGTATAGGCTTCCTTTGCCACAAAACAGGCCGAACCTTCAGGAGCTTGATTGCATTCTTTGGCTTGAGGGCTTAGGGTTAAGGGTTTTTGGATCCTACGCCCTGAACCCTTCTAGCTTTCAACCTTCGGCAACAGCTCAGCTCGGAACGCAGATTTCTTGCCTTTGCTGGTTTAGGATTTCAAGTTTAGGGTTTAGGGTCTCGGGTTCGGGTGTAGCGTTTAGCGGTCGGGTTTGTAAGGGTTTAGGGTTTCGGGTTAAGGGTTTAGGGTTTAGGCGAGGCTCATGAGTAGTTTAGAGAGGGCCGGAGTGCTTAGGGTGGAGGCCTTGGCCCAATTTCTCAACCTCTTAATACCACAACCCTGAACCCCCAGGCCCGAAACCCTAAACTCTAAACCCTAGACCCTAAACTCTAACACCTAAACCATAGACCCAAACCCTAAGCCCTTTGCTAGCCCCGAAGCCTCCTGGACATATTGCTCCGCAAACCTTATGAGGATCCCCGTTCGAATTTATCGTATACTGCCATACTCCTTCATTAAATCATGCTGGGATGCCTATTGATTGAACTCAAGAAGCATTAACTTGCTGTCATTCAGGTGTATCTGTAGAGCAACTAGAGCAAAAACCCGAAAACGCAGACCCTGCCCAGTTTAGGGGTTGACTTTCGGGGCGATGGTGGCTGGGGTTTAAAAGGCTCGGGATTACTTAGAACCCCACTCACTAAGTCAGGGTTTCGGTGGCCCAGTACGGGAACTTGGAGCATCGTGGACAAGAAACCCTGAACACTAAACCCTAGATACCCTAAACCCTAAACCTTAAACCCTAAACCCTCAACCCTAAACCCTAAACCCTAGCCCTAAACCCTAAACCCACATGAAGCCGGGGTTCGGGGTTGAGGTTGTTCAGGGAATGAAGGGTTCACAATTCATGGAGTTTCGGGTTTAGGTGGCTTAGAGAGTTGAGGGGTCCAGGGGATTTAGGATGTAGGGTTTAGGGTTTCAGGGGTTCAGTGGTTTCAGGGGGTTCAGGGGGTTAACCCTAGCCCCCTAAACCCTAAACCCTAAACCCTAAACCCTAAACCCTAAACCCGAAACCCTAAACCCTAAACCCTAAACCCTAAACCCTCAAGGCCAGGATAAATAGAAATTGTAGGTATTTCATTACGAGCAGCTCGTGCAATAATCCTTCATCCTTCACAATGCAAAAATAGTAGCCAAACCCTTCAGCCAGCCCCCCGCTCAGCCCACTTACCAGCCCAAACATCCCGCCCCTCCAGCCAGCCCCTCCAGCCTCCGCCCCCTGCGGCCCGCCCTCTCCAGCCCCTCTCCAGCCCCTCTCCACTCCAGCCCCCTCTCCAGCCCCTCCCCTCTCTAGCCCCTCTCCAGCCCCTCTTCAGCCTCTTTCCAGCCCCTCTCAGCCCCTCTCCAGCTCCTCTCCTTTCCAGCCCCTCTCCAGCCCCTCCAGCACTCCCCCAGCCCGGCCCCACAACCCCAAAGTCAAAATGACAAATGTAAAAAACAAAACCCGACAAAACCCCACAAAACCCCGGACACAAACCCTATACAATTTCTATAAACCCTAAACCCTAAACCCTAAACCCTAAACCCTAAACCCTAAACCGCACGCCGGGGGGCTGGGATCGCTGGCGGCCTGTCCATTCCAGCTTCCTCGTGAAAGGGCCGGATTGGTTTAGGGTTTAGAGTTTAGGGTTTAGGGTTTAGGGTTTAGGGCTAGTGGAGGTTCATGGTACGTAATAACCCAATTTTAACTGCACTTAGAATTAACTAGCAACCATATCAGGGTACATAAGGGGCTAGTAGGTGGGATACGAGTGCAGTGACAATGGTTTGCAAGTACTATGAACCTGCAAGTAGCCTAGTAGCTTGGGGGTTTAGGTTGTTTGAGGTGTAGGGTTAGGGTGCGGACCTGACCAAACCAAGTACCCCCTTGCCCAAAAACACTAAACCCTAAACCCTAAACCCTATATAAAACCCTCCCTTTACCCCAAGATTATGCAAATAGAACTTAATTGAAGGTCGAGTGTGTGCTTCCCTGTCTTCATGCCTAAACCCTACAGTGAACTGAAAGAAGTTGGAACTTCCCTAAACTCTAAACCCTAAACCCTAAACCCTAAACCCTAAACCCTAAACCCTAAACCCTAAACCCTAAACCCTAAACCCTAAACCCTAAACCCTAAACCCTAAACCCTAAACCCATACCTCGTATTGGTTGGTGGTCTCTTTAAGTAGGGTTCCTGTTTTGTAGGGGGTTCTTGTTAGGGTATCTAGGGGCTATATCAAGATATACGGGTAACAGAGAAAGAGGCCACCGGCCTATCTAACCCATACCCCAAAAGGGATGCTCAAGGGACTCACAGCTCGAGTCATCCTTAAACCATGCTCTTAGGGTGTAGGGTTTAGGGTTTAGGGTTTAGGGTTTAGGGTTTAGGGTTTAGGGTTTAGGGTTTATGTGAAACTTGTGAACCTATTTGGGTGGATTACTCTGATCCACAGTGCACAGTCGAGAGGGAACTTTCTTTTGCTCTTTCTTGTCAGCGGGTTTCAGCTCAAGGCCTTGTTTGGACCAAAAGCGAAAGCATTTATAGCTTCAGCAGTCCACCCACGCCCACAACACTACAATGCAAACTAATGCAGCCAAGCGGTAGATGTGCTGCTGGGGTACCTGCAGTCAGCGCGTCATATTTCACACCCCCTTTCGTCGGTGATCTGCAAGGTGCGCCAACACGAGGTCCGTCTCTGATTTGAGGGATACATGAAGACGAAGCAAGGTGCTTCCGATTCCCTGGCTTCTCTGGCCTGCTTGTTCCCAACAATCAGAACGATACCTCTCACCAACCCAGACAGCAAAGGTGTGGCACCACGCTGCTCCTTTCGAAAGCCTTTACTGTTCATACCACACCAGATACAGAGTTCACTGATGTTCATCCACCATTGCTTGCAGTACTGTCAGCGTCCATCTCCAAACTTTGCCTCGTTGAGCACCTGTGTTGAACTCTTCTTGATGAGGCCCCAAACACATAGTCTCAAATAGACCAATCTCAGAGCCATGGCGGCGGCGATGAGGCCAAGGAAGGAAAGGTGAGGGCTGGGTCTTACAAGAGCTTCCACCCCTGCTTGCTGCCCGGAGCAGCTTTGTCACAGTCCCTGTTCTGACTGTGATACGAAAGACCACGCCAAAATTGACGTAGCGGATCCGAGTAACCCATGCGCTGTACATTGGCACCTTTGGTACCGCAAAAGACCTGTACAGAAAATATGTGCTTTAAGCTATATGCAGTGGAAAACGACTACCAAAGCAAGTTAGGAAAACAATCAAAGAGATCTCCAAAATCTCTCTGACTTCGCGCTGGCAATCTCCTAGACAAACTACACTTTGAGCTATATACAGTGGAAAATAACTACCAAAGCACGTTAGGAAAACAATCAAAGAGATCTCCAAAATCTCTCTGACTTCGTGCTTGCTACCTCGTAGACAAACTACATACAAACAACTAACCATATCGCTCGAAATCAGGAATGGTTGTCTTCACTCCCTCATACCAGCGAATGATGCGGCAGATTTGCTGCTCCGAGTACTTGGCCTGTACATCCTGCAAAGTGAGCATCGGCGTCCGCTTGGGCCCAGCTATTGCCTTTGGCAAAGCTTCAGCCTGTACAGATGACTCCACCTTCGGTGGATGCTCTTCAGGAAACGCTCTAAACTCCGGAGCCTGAGTAGGCTTACTTGGAAAAGCACGTGAGCTATGCGGGGCTGCAGAAACTCTCGGGGAAGGTGAGTCTGAAGCCTTTGACTTCTTGGTTGGGGGACCTTCCGGCTCTGCCGGTGGATCCGAGCCCCGAATGAAAATACCAGGTGGTCTATTCAAAGTGGGCTCATCTTGCCTACTTACTACTCCGCGTCGCCGCTGGTAAGCTGAGTGTTGCATTTCCTGCAACTCTGCTGCGCGCCCCTCCATTTTTGGGCCGAAAAACTATACGAACAAAAATTCTTAAATCCTGCTAATAAAACTTCACGCACACAAACACACACGTGCAAATTAAAAATCCCGCATCATCTGTATACATGCATATAAACAAAAATCAGACGTGAGACCCTATCCTAAACGGTCCTAAACGGTCCTAAACCCCCCTTTCAAGCACCCAGCCGCAGGGAAGGTCAAAACATGCATGTTTGAAACACTTCAGCCTATGTCTGGACTCAACAGCGCTTGCACTGATGGCCCATCACTTGGCAGAAAACCGAGTGTACGCCTGTGGCGCACAAACAGAGACATTGGCAGGCATTTAGTAAAGAGGTCGGCAGGATTCTCCGTGCCTATGCCCCAAGTCACGCGCAGATATCCTTTGGAAATCAGTTCGCGCAACCAGAAAACTCGAATTTCTATGTGCCGTGAACGTCTTGGCAAATCTGCTCCCATGAGCAAAACACGTGCAGATTCGGAATCCGTCGACAACTGTACAAAAGGCCATTCAGCCTTTGAGAGCCAACGAAAACTCGACAAGATTCTATGTACAACATGCAAAACCACCAGAGACTCTTGAGTCATCGTTTGGATCGCGTGTAGTTCTGCTTCGCAGGAACTCAGCGTGACAGAAGCTTGCTGTCGAGCCAACGCCTTGATCAGAGACCCCTGGAGGATGATAACTCCTCCGGTGATGCTCTTGCGTCCCAGCGAACGCATAGGCGCATAAGAAGCATCGGAAAACACAGAAACTTCCTGGTATGAGTCATTGCTCATCGTCTCAGGAGAAGGAAAGTGCACTCGCACATCACCATCTTTGCGTAAAAACCTGAGGAGAGCACGTAGGGCTTCCTCGTGCGCAGCCGTAGGAGCACTTTGGCCCACAGAAACAAGGGAAATCGCGATATGCAAGTCTTCACGCGTTTGCGCGAACCACGCAAGTTTTCCCAGAACACGCCTAAACTTAGCATGCGCTTCTGCCGACAACACATGGCTATTGCTGGATTTCTCCAACACTGCTCTGATGTCAGGAAAAGCAGATGAACCACCTCCGCGACCAGACAACTTATAGTCGTCGTAACAGGAGTCTAGGTAGTTGGCATCGACAAAGAGAGTAAGCGCAGCTTCGCCCGGCCTCCTCTCAATGTTTCGTCCCAGGAAACGCAGGTGTCCACCACCCCCTTTGGAGGAGAGAATCCTACCAGTCAGCTTCGTCGGTACTCTACTCTGCAGAGCAGCAAAGATCTTGTTAATGACCTTTTGGCTAGGACATGCTATCAGCACATCGTCAACGTACAGGAGCACTAAACATTCCACTCCATCAACAAGGCCACTGAACAAACACGGCTCACGCTCACAGGCATGGAGCCCAAGCGGTCCAAGAGTGTCGCTTGTAATGTACTCCAACCACGCGCGACTGGAAAGACGCAACCCATTTAGGGCTTGGGATAAAGCCATGTACACCGGTTCTCCATTTGGAAAACTTACCGACAAAGGCATTTTGATACATGCTTTGCGGTGTTTGAGCGGTGTATGCATAAAGGCTTGGGAAACATCAAGGGATGCTAGCTCCCAATCATGGCGTCCTGCATACGCGAGAACGGTCCTTAAAGCTTCTACCGAAGGAGTAGGACTGGAAATCTCCAAGGAACGTGCGCTCTTTGAGCCACGAAAGTCTTTTACAACTAACCGGGACCGCACTATTTCAGCGCCGTCCGTGTCGGTCTTCTCATTTGTATGTAACCCAGCGGGAAGCCAACACTTGAATGCCATGTTTGTGGCAATAAGCTTCGGCCTGCGCTTTGTTCATGACGTTACCAGCTTTACAGGAACTTAGTCCACCAAGCTCTTTCAACATTCCTTTAAAAGTGGCATCACCATTAAGTTCGGCCATACTGACATCAGACACAGCCTTGGAAGGTATCAAGAAAGTTTTTACCGCCAAGAGTTTAAAATTTCTCACTCCAATTAGCTTTGATGTCTCCTTAGCTCAGGGACTCTTGACCAAAACTGGTCTTGCACTGAACCCTAAGCTTGACAAAGGGCCGCAAAAGGCTTACGAGGGACCAATACAACCGGGCGAAATTGTCGTAAAGGGACAGCCGCCAGCGTCCTTCCTCAAGGAGCACGGGCGTACGCCAGGATGTAATGCCTGTTCGTACCCAACTTTTCACGGACGAGTTCACAACAAAGCTTGTAAAGAGCGGTATCGCCTCTTTCTGCAAAAGCAGCAGGACTTGTTAGAGGAAGGTAAGGAGCAGCCTGCTAAGCAAGCTGAGCCTTCACCTGCTATTGTTCCTAGTGTGCCAGAACCTGAGTCGCAAGACCACCAACCAGATTGGTTGAGTAAGTTCGATATAGAGGTTGCTGAAGAGCCGGGTAAAACTGCGGTGCCATGCACTGAAATGTTTGATCCCGCTCCTCGTCGTTTTAAAATAAGGACAAAGACTTCCCCTGAAGAAGTGCATGCCAAAGGTCAAAAGAGGCCAGCTCAGGAAGAATTGAAGGAAGACTTCGACAATTCCGATTATGTGCCCTCGGACGTAGAGAGTCCAGCGTTGCCGCTTCCTATCCCAATACCTGAAGCTGTAGATAGCTCAGTGTCGGGGCCGGGTACTTCTAATGAAGAGCCGCAGAGTGTCCCAATGGAGGTTGACAGTTTAGTCGATGCCGCAACCATGATCAATGGATCGTTTGGGTTGACGGGTCCTGAACTTGTTAGCCCTGATGTGTTTCACCTTTCTGGAGTTGTGTTCGACGACTCTGCCAAAGCCAAGAGTCAAACTGTGGAGTTTTGTGGTTCTAAGCTCCCCCATTGAGCTCCATTGTGGGCTCAAATAGCATGCCTTAACAAAGCGAGAGGGCGCTTGCACCGATTCCGGTACTTCAGCAAGGACTACCGAGCCGTACAAAGCAAACTTTGCTGTTGGGAGTTGACGGTTGGCAAGCGCTTCGCGCGCCGTCCTTGCCCCCTCCCCAGGACATGCAAAACAGTTATGAGCAAACGCAACATACTTAAAAAGTTGAAACCAACTGTCGTGAGTGTTGCATATATCTACACCTTCCTCACGCAAGTCCACACGGATAGTAGCGGCTCCTTCTTTGAAGCGCCTAACCGTGCGTTCAGCTGCTCCCACACTTTCGTGTCCTTGCGGCGATGCTTTGCGCACTAAAATTCGCACACCTGATTCCAGGCCTGTTTTAAACAGCTGTGCAACCGCCTTTTCGGCGTCAGTAAACAACTCAACTATTTTAGAAGAAGGCATGGCAAACTCAGCAAGCCAATGTGCCAAAACTGAATTTGTCACTCGCCTATCAGACGAGCAAGGTATTACACCTATCATGCCCGACGCCACTTCTATAATTGCCAAAAACCTGTGCTCTTGACGCGAATTTTCATGCGCGATATCAAAGAAGTCAGCATACAGCCTTGGCTCAGGAGACTTGCGGCGCTGGCGCGGGTGCCTATACACACCACGACTTTGCTGACACTGGACACAGTGGGGGTCATAAGGAACATGTCCCCTCATTCTGTGCTTCTCATACTCAGCAGCATCCCTTTTAGAGAGCTGCTCCTCCCGTCGCTTTGCGGGCTCAGCAACAGGCTGGCTTGAAGCAGCGCTTGTCTCCCCAACTGCAGCCGGCTCTTGCTCAAAAACACTCTCTTTAGAGAGTTGTTCTCCACTTTGCCTGGCAGGCACAGCTGAGGCACTGGGCTCCTCAGCTGTCCCTGAAGCCATTAGCACTGGTGAAAACCTGGGTCCTTTGACCCTTTAGGCACATCAAGATCGCCTTCGGCAACCTCAACTGCCCGCAACCATGGACACCCACAGTACCAAGTTATGTCACAGATAATCACGCCTGACGCATGCTTCAGGTGACACCCATCACTGACAAAGTGGATTTCCCAACCTTTGTCCATCAACTGAGGTACACTGATAATGTTGTGCCGCGTTTTGCCGACATAGCAATTCAGGTCAAACGGCATCACAGAGTCCTTGGTTTCAAAAGCGACTCTAGCGCGACCGCGTTTGGACATCTGTACAGCAGAACCGTTCGCGGCGGAGAAACCTCCCGGACTAGCATCCGTAAGGTGGGAGAAAGAGTACTTGCTCAAAAACTGCGTGGCCATTACTGTCACAGAGGCGCCTGAATCCAGCAGCCACCATGACCAACTGTCATCTGTGTCCACTTGAAACAGCATCAACGCATCACAAAGAGAACGCAAAGGACACAAACCAAACTCACTCTTCTCTTCAACATCGTCGTTGAGAAGGAGAGGCATCATGAGCAAACTGCTCGCAGTACCTTCTTCTTCGGCTTCATACTCACCAGCCTCATAGGTCCCATCGTCCTGAGCTGCTTCTTCGCCTTCGGCATCTTCAGTGAGCTCGTGCATCTTGCCTTTCTTGCCGCCTTTGCCTGAGCAACCACGGCCTTTGGCCTGAGTGCTCTTTCCACGGCCCTTTCCCTTAGCAGAAACAGGCTTGCCAGTCGTTCGAGACTCTGCAGTTTTACTGCTTTGGCTACTTGTGTCAGAGTGAGACCTCGCTTTGGTCTTGGCTTTGGGGCATCTTGCTCCTATGTGGCCTGTTTCACCACACTTGAAACACTCAGTTTTCGAAAGATCTGTTTTACAGTCTTTCTCAAAATGGCCTGCTTTGCCACAACGCCGGCATTTGCCAGACAAAGCACTAACAGTCTCGTCCTCGTACCATTCGTCATCTTCCCACCACTCGCCAGTGGGGTCATCTAGCTCATTCACAAGACGCTCCTGCCTGTCACCGAGACCCATCTCCGAAAACATCCGCTGTTGGGACTCGTAACGCAGAGCTGCCTTTCGCAACTCCACGTACGACTCTCCTGTGGCATGGAGAAGGCAGTAAGAGCGGGCATCTTTTGAAATACTCCGCAAAAGCATAAGGGTGAGATCTGACGAACCTACTTCGAGACCATCGCGAGAAACGGCGCTAGGCAAAGTCTCAACAAGTCTTTTGTAGCGAGACAGCTCGACGTCCACTTTGCGTACTATGTCTGAGACATGAGTAGCAGCAGACTCTCCACGAAAACTGCGCTTGATGAATTCGGCACGAAAGTAGCTGGCTTCAGCCCGAGAGCGTAAGGAAAACTCGTGGCCTAAAAGGCGTAAGGCTTCAAAACCACATGTGTCCCCAGAGCTTCGATGGAGATTTTCTCCATACGTAGCCCCCTCTACATAGGAACGCAAAATCATGTCTGCTCTCGCGTGGCTGGCAAAAGCTTGGCGCAAGATAGCAAGGAGCCTGTTGCTCCTCTGAGCTTGCGGCTTGGTGAGAGTAGCTTGAAAAATCTCATGAGGCCACCTAATGGCTTGCTCAATCTCGATAGGAAAAGTATCACTACCAAGAGCAACCCAACCCTTCAAGGTAGTCAGGTACTCGTTAAAGCCCAAAATCTCCTGCTCACGGTTCTTCCAGCCATCAAACTGCGGGCTGGGAAGTGCAGGAAGCCACTTTTCAGACTTCGTAAAGATGTCCTGCTCCTCTTTCTCGGGCTTTGCCCGAGCAGAAGCTCCACAAAACTGCTGTCCTTGAGGTGGCGCCACTCTGGCACCGAAGCCACTGCTTGCATTGGTCATTCTGCCAACACTACCACCAGCACCTTCTTCTTGCGTAGGCTGCCCTCGTCCAAGGGCCAGCTGCTCCACCCGCCTGCCAAGATTAGCAACCTCAGCCATGCAACTTCTCAGGGCTTCGCCCTGCGAGTGAAGCAGTGCCATCATAGTAGCCATATCTGCTTGGCCAGTTGCACCACACTGCGTGTGAGAAGGCTCCTCGTGAGCACCAAGTTGGGCTGCCAGGCGCTGCTGGCCTACAGCCTCATGCCCTTCGGGCGGCCCCTGCGGGGTAGACACATTCTCCAGACTATCAACATCAGCATCCTGCCCATTTGGCCCTCTTGGCCCTACAGGTGCAGACCCACCTCCAGCAGGTCCTGCCTGGCCCTCTTGGCCCGTTTCAAACACAGAGCATCCAGTTACGTTAGGAGCGCTCAGTCCACTTTGGAAAACACAACCTCCAGGTACGTTAGGAGAACTTGGCCCATTCTGGCCACCGGGGAAAAAACAGCCTCCAGGTACGTTAGGAGGACTTGGCCCATTCTGGCCACCATGGAAAACACAGCCTCCAGGTACGTTAGGAGGACTTGGCCCTACTTGGCCACCAAAACAAACGAAGCCTCCAGGTACGTTAGGAGCGCAACAACCTCCAAGTCCGTTAGGAGGGTAACCAGCCGAGTGGGCACCTGCCGGCCCGCACGGTCCACACATGGCTCCTCTGAGCCCCGCCGTAGCCATATTTACATTGGCGCCTTCCGGCACTCCGCCCATTGAGCTCTGACCCAAAGCAAACTGCGCCAGTCCAGGCGTCCTGTACAGTCCCTGCTGCATCATCGCGGCTTGCTGCGCTTGGAAAAACATTCCGGCTCCTGGCTGCATACCCACCGGTGGCTGCGGAACCGTCTGTCCCGACCCAAAGCCATTGCCATCATCCGCATCCATCCTGAAGCGTTGTGGCCTCTGTGGGCTATTCTGTACACTTCCACGCTCTACATCGTAAGCATGAGACGGAGTCCTACCATCACCCTTGGCTCTTTGAGTGGCCTCGTACGCTGGGCCATACCTTTGACGCCTCGCGTCAGCAGCACTTGGTGAAGGCGTCCTAACTCTACTCGTCATCCTACGTGTCCTAGCGCTATGTACAGGGCAGCTTCTGGAGCGACTCAGCGCTCCGCTACCATGTGAAACTTGTGAACCTATTTGGGTGGATTACTCTGATCCACAGTGCACAGTCGAGAGGGAACTTTCTTTTGCTCTTTCTTGTCAGCGGGTTTCAGCTCAAGGCCTTGTTTGGACCAAAAGCGAAAGCATTTATAGCTTCAGCAGTCCACCCACGCCCACAACACTACAATGCAAACTAATGCAGCCAAGCGGTAGATGTGCTGCTGGGGTACCTGCAGTCAGCGCGTCATATTTCACAGTTTAGGGTTTAGGGTTCAGGGTGTAAAATCTAGACCTTGGGATGTTCCCCCTTATACTAACATAACAGTCCTTAATAGGGATTCTAAGGACTGTTAGTATACGGGGGCAACCCTTAAACCCTAAACCTAAACCCTAAACCCTAAGAAACCCTAAACCCTAAACCCGGGTCCTCCTGCAGCAGCCGCCTGGCCCATCAAAATCTCTTCCAGTACGCGCGGGTCGATGTTGCCACCTTGGCAGGGGTCTGACTTTCAGGGCTCAGGGTTCAGGGTTCAGGGTTTGGGGTTTAGGGTTTAGGGTTTAGGGTCTAGGGTTTAGGGTTTAGGGGTTAGGGTTTCGGGTTTCGGGTTCTTTAGGGTCTTGGGCTGTAGGGAGTTAGGGTGCAGGGCTGGAGGAAATTTCGGGCTGCGGGTTTGGGGTTTAGGGGTTGCTGCAGTGCAACTGTGGTCGGGGTTTTAGGGTTCAGGGTTTAGGGGTTTAGGGTTTAGGGTTTAGGGTTTAGGGTTTACGGTTTAGGGTTTAGGGTTATTAGGGTTTAGGGTTTGGGGTTTAGGGTTTAGGGTTTCGGGTTATGGATGTGGATGTGGTTGTTGCGGGCTTGTTGTGGGCTTGTTTTGCGGCTGCTGTGGTTGTGGATGTGGCTGTTGCTGCTCATGTTGCGGGATTTTGAGGAACCCTAAACCCTAAACCCTAAACCCTAAACCCTAAACCCTAAACCCTAAACCCTAAACCCTAAACCCTAAACCCTAAACCCTAAACCACCAAGAGCCCCACCCAACACAAAGGGGTAGAAGGGGGAGAGGGAGGTTCTCAGAGCCGAAGCTCCGACCTTTGAGCACTTAAAGCCCTTAGGGTTTAGGGTTTAGGGTTTAGGGTTTAGGGTTTAGGGTTTAGGGTTTAGGGTTTAGGGCTTAGGGCTTAGGGTTTAGGGTTTTAGGGTTTTAGGGTTTTAGGGTCTAGGGTTTAGGGTTTAGGGTTTAGGGTTTAGGGTTTAGGGATTTGGGTCTAGGGTCCCGATAAAGCCCCTCTGAAAAGGGGCAGAGAAGAGAATAGAAGGTACCGACATCCCGAACTCCACATGCTAGGAACTAGTATGTCAATGTAACCATCAACCCTGATGCTCGCCCCTTCCTGGCTGGTTCTTAGTAGGGAATGAGGGAATGAGGTACCCTATATCCCCCTACACATACCCTTTCAGGGATTATATACTGTACCTCATTCCCCCATTCCCTACTAAGAACCAGGGGGACTCAACAGAGAGGATGGTACTGAGCGTTGTCTGTGAAAGGAACATCTACACTCTCTGAAGCTACATGAACACCGTTACTTGGTTAGACAAGCAGTACCGACCCCTCCCTAATTCAAAGTCCCCCTGCACACCCTAAACCCTGAACCCTACAACCCGGCGGCCACCTTGGCCAAACATCATCTGTATGGGGTCGAAGCCTGGCCCAGGGTTTGGGGTCTAGGGATTGGGGGTCCTAGGGTTTAGGGCTTAGGGCTTGGGGCTTGGGGGGTTGGAATTTAAGGGGTCATGGGCCAAGGGCTCAAGTAGGCTAAGGGTGGTGTTCGAGGTTCCTGTGGTTCGGGTTTTCACGGGGGTCCCAAAGCCTCTGGCCAAGGGTGTACACGCTAATTAAATTTCCTGCGTGACGGTACCCCTGTAGGTGGAGCTTGGTGGGACTCTATGAGGCATACTTTTTTTGACTTTTCTTTGGGGAGCCTAGGGTTGGGGGGTTTTGGGATTAACGCTTTCAGGCGTAGTCCACACAACCCTACAACAGCACCCCCCCCCCCTTCCCGCGGCAACCTCCACCCTCCCAAGCGCGCCTGCTGGCGCATTCATTCCTGGCTCATTCTGGAGCTTCAACCCTAAACCCTAAACCCTAAACCCCAAACCCCAAACCCTAAACCCTAAACCCTAAACCCTAGACCTAAGGAGCTCCAGCTTTTGTCCTGCTTGGGTTTTGGGCGCAGGGCCATGTGAAAAAGGGCCTGGAAATTCATCCGAGGGCTCAAGTGTAGCGTAGCCTTGAGTTCCCTAAACCTGAAGCCCTGCCAGGGTTTAGGGTTTAGGGTTTAGGGTTTAGGGTTTAGGGTTTAGGGTTTAGGGTTTAGGGTTTAGGGTCTAGGGTTTAGGGTTTAGGGTTTAGGGTTTAGGGTTTAGGGTCTAGGGTCTAGGGTTTAGGGTTTAGGGTTTAGGGTTTAGGGTTTAGGGTTAGGGTTTAGGGTTTAGAGTTTAGGGTTTAGGGTTGAGGGTTTAGGGTTTAGGGTTTAGAGTTTAGGTTTAGGGTTTAGGGATTCGGGGTGAGGGGTTAGGGGTTAGGGGTTAGGGTTTACGCAGACATCCTCTTCTCCTTTCAGTGTCTTCTTCTACATGTGCAAACCCTGAACCCTAAACCCTAAACCCCAAACCCTATACCCCACAAACCATGAAATGCCCCCCCCCCCCCCCCCCCCCCCCCCCAAACAAAAAAAAAACAATCAACCTCGACCCCAACACCCTGAAGCCACCAGACTCAAACAGAAGAACCTGTAAACCCCAAACTTGCCCTAAGCCCTAATCCCTAAATCCTAAACCTTGAACCCTAAAACCCTAAACCCAAACCCGAATACCGAAACCCTCGGCTTTGGGGTGTTGGATTTGAGGGTCCAGTGCTGCTCCATGGATTCCACTCGAGACCCTTACAAAGGCTTTTGCCAAAGCTTCCAAAGCCCTGCAACCCTACAGCCCTGAACCCCAAAATCCTAACCCTAAACCCGAAAACAATAAACACCCTATTCCCTAAAACCCGCAAAGCCCCAAAGCCCTGAACACCTGAACCCCACACCCTGAAACCCTTTCAAACCCTTAAAACCCTCAGAGCCCGTCAATCACTCCCTAAAACCCTTAAACCCCTTAAACCCTTTAAAACCCTTAACAACACCCTTGACGCCCTTTAAATAAGATTAAAACCCTTAAAGCCCTTAACAACACGCTTAAAACCGTAAACCCTAGCCCTAAACCCTGAACCCCAAACCCTTAAAAGCCTTAAAGCCCTTACAACCCTTAAAACCCTTAACAGCCTTAAAACCCTTAAAACCCTTAAAACCCTTAAAACACTTAAAACCCTAAACCCTAGCCCTAAACCCTGAACCCCAAACCCTTAAAACCCTTAAAACCCTCAACAGCCTTAAACGCCCTCAAAACCCAAGAGCAACACTGGAGGCGATCCTGGCATGAAGAAGGGGGGCCTTGGCTTGGGTACGAGGAGTTTCGGGGGAGGATTGGGGAGGTTTGGGGGTTTAGGGTTTAGGGTTTAGGGTTTGGGGTTTGGGGGGTTTGGGGGGTTTGGGGGGTTTGGGGGGTTTGGGGGGTTGGGGGGTTTGGGGGTTTGGGGGGTTTGGGGGTTTGGGGGGTTTGGGGGGGGGTTTTGGGGTTTGGGGGGTTTGGGGGGTTGGGGGGTTTGGGGGGTTTTGGGGGGTTTTTGGGGGGGTTTGGGGGTTTGGGGGGTTTGGGGGGTTTGGGGGGTTTTGGGGGGTTGGGGGGTTTGGGGGGTTTGGGGGTTTTGGGGGGTTTGGGGGGTTTGGGGGGTTTGGGGGGGTTTGGGGTTTGGGGGTTTGGGGGGTTTGGGGGGTTTGGGGGGGTTTGGGGGGGTTTGGGGGGTTTGGGGGGTTGGGGGGTTTGGGGGGTTTGGGGGGGTTGGGGGTTTGGGGGGTTTGGGGGGTTTGGGGGGTTTGGGGGTTTGGGGGGTTGGGGGGTTGGGGTTTGGGGGTTTGGGGGGTTGGGGGGTTTGGGGGGTTTTGGGGGGTTTGTTTGGGGGGTTTTGGGGGTTTGGGGGGTTTGGGGGGTTTGGGGGGGGGGGTTTGGGGGTTTTTGGGGGGTTTCGGGGGTTTTGGGGGGGTTGTGGGTTTTTGGGGTGGTTTTTGGGGGGTTTGGGGGGGTTTGGGGGGGTTTGGGGGGTTTGGGGGGGTTTGGGGGGTTTGGGGGGGGTTTGGGGGGTTTGGGGTTTGGGGGGGTTTGGGTTTGCAGGGGTTTGGCGTTAAGGTTCAGGGCTTAGGGCTTAAGGGGAGGGCTGTTAGGGTTTAGGGTTAGTTGAAGATTTGCGTGTCTTGCACATTTCCGGCAGCTTGATGCTGGAACTCCGAAACTTATTAAGCCGCCAATAGCCCCCTACCAAAAACATAGGAAACATCCCACAAAATGCGTTAGCGCGGGAGAGGACATAACTAGGACACTCATCCCTAAACCCTAAAACCTAAACCCTAAACCCTATAGCCCTAAACCCTAAACCCCAGACCCTAAACCCTAAACCCGAAACCCGAAATAAACACTAAACCCAAAGAACACGCTCTGGGAGTCTGGCGGCCTGCCTGTCATGGTCCGGTGCCAGCAGTCCGCCTTTCCCGGGAGGGGAGTGCGTGAAACTTTTAGGCTTTTTTTCTATGGGGTTTATAGGGTTTATAGGGTTTGTAGGGGTTATAGGGTTTATGGGGTTTATGGGGTTTATGGGGTTTATAGGGTTTATAGGGTTTACAGTTTTGGGTTTGGGGCTTAGGGTTTGGGGTCTTTCTAGGGTGGTATAGGGTGAATATGGGGTTCTTGTGGGGTTTAGGGTTCCCTAGAACCTATATGCAAGACCCTATACAAACCCTGTAG